GGCGTGCGGGAGCGGGGCGGGCTGAGGGCGGGCTGAGGGCGGGGGCCCGGTCACGAGGACGGCGAGCGGGGTCAGGTTCCCGAGCGGGCTTGGCGGCGTTTGTCCGGACGCCGGGACGCTCCAGGGAGCGGGCGCAGGGCGCCGCGGAGCAGACCTGAGATCGGCGAGGAGGGAGGAATCGGGAAGGGCTGGGCGTCCGCGGGAGACTGGGACGCCGTGGAGGGAAGGGGCGTCCTGCCCCAGCCGGGCAGGACGGGGACGGGCGCTCTACCTGGAGCTCCAACAGCGCCCTTACAACCCGCTCTGGAAGGGCGTGTACGGAGCAGTTTAAGTGGCAGCGGCGCAGACGGCGCACTAGGGAGTTCCGATCTGTCCCTTCCCAGAAAGACAATTTTTAAAAGAAAAATGGCGAAACTATCCCCGCAAAATAATAGAGACCCCGGGCATGGTGGCACACGCCTGTAATCCCAGTACTCAGGCTGAGAGCCAGGGATCGCCAAAAGTTCAGAGGCCAGCCTGCGCTACACAGCCAGACCCTGTCTCCCCTCATATGGAGAAATTAACTGTTAGTACAGCTGTCCTGCGGGAAAAGCTGAAGGCCGGGTGTCCTTTAGCCTGAAGTGAAAGGGGATCAGGTAGTAAATGGAAGCCAGATAAAAACACTGCTAACGCAGGGTATGGTGGCGCACACCCGTCATCCCGGCCCCTGAGAGGCTGAGCAGGGAGGACTGCAGCGAGTTCAAGGCCAGCCTGAGCTACATAGTGAGATCCTGTCTTTAAAAAAATAAAGTACAGAGGTAAATACAAAAGCCAACAGTTCATATTTTTGGTTTATAATTCCTCATTTCTATATGTTTAATAGAAAATGCAAATGCATGAAACAATACTTGTAAAGCTGTGCTGAGCAAAGAAGGTATAAAGATGTGGCTTGTGGCAATACTGTATGAAAAGGAAAGACTGGAGATATACAAGGAGCATAGTTTTGCATGCTTTTCTGTGAATAGACTATGTAATAGGATATAAATCAATTCTCCATAAGTTGAAAACAATTGAGATCATAGAAAGTACCATCTCTGAACACAGTGTAATAAAGCAAGAAATCAGGAATGGGGAAAATTGGCAATACAATAGCAAATGTGTGGAAATTATACAGTTAACCCGTGGGTCAAAGAGGAAATCCCCAAGGAAATTAGGTAATACTTTGAGATGATAAAAAATATAACATACTAAAACGTGAGATGCAGCAAAAATGCTTAGAAATTTATATCCTTAAGTGCTGTTATACTCAGGATTTTCAAGGGAACGAGATTTAATGCAGGACACATAATTTATAGGATTATTATATAATAATATTCACCCAAAGACTCAAATGCAAGAGTGCTGAAGATTTGTCCACACACTAGAGACCCAGAGAATCCAGCTGAGGGCTGGGATCCCACAACAATGTCCTGCATGAGTCCAGCTGAAGACCATGGCAATGTCTCATGCACGTCGGTATCATGGATCTGCGCTGGAAAGGCCCCAAGTTCAGTGGTAGAAGCTAGAAAGTCTGCCAGTGGGATGAAGGATCTGTGCCAGCAGCTGAGGGGTCTACACTGGAGCAGGGAAGCAACTCTCAAGATAAGGACCAGAGCTCCCCCAGGGAGAATCACAGCTGTCCTCAGCGACAGCAAGAACCCAGGCTTCTCCAGTGATACCAGCCAAGTTCATGTCAGGAAAGCCAGCATGACAAGCTCCTCCAAGAGAATCAACAGCGCAACATCTTGCCTTCTAGTTCTTTTTTTATGCTGTTGACAACAATGCTCAGATGGGCCTTCCACACCCAGCACTATGCTGATTCGGTTCAGCTGGGTGTTGCAACCTGACCATTAGTTAATCCACCACAAATATATTTTAAAAATATATTTAAAAGATCCGAGCCAGGCCTGATGATATATGTCTATGTTTCCAGCCACCTGGGAGACTGAGGCAGGAGGACTAAAAATTCATGGCCAGGCTGGGCAGCTTAGTGAGGCTCTGACCAAAAAAAAAAAAAAAGCCGTGGCTATGGGTCAGTGCTTGCCTAGCATTTGAGAAAGTAAATTAATCCAAAATCAGAAGGGGTGCATGCATCAGAAGGCACGGTGGTGCATGCCTGTAATCCCAGCACTTGGGAGGCTGAGGCAGGAGGATCAGTGCAAGTCCAAGACCAGCCTGGGCTACAAAGTGAGTTCAAGGCCAGCCTGAACTGCATAGCGAGACCTTTTCTTAAAAAGACAACAAAACAAAACAAAACAAAAACAACCCCCCCATAAAAACAAAGTCAGAAGGAAGGAAATAATAATAATCAGAGCAGAAATAAATGAAATATGGAATGTAAAACCATGGTGCCATGTGCCTGCGGTTCCAGTTGCTCAGAAAGCTGAGGGGGAAGAGGGTGGCAGAACCAGGACTTCAGGGCCAGCCTGGGCTACATAGGGAGACCCTCTCTTTAAAAATAAATCAATGAAACTAAAAGTGGATTTTTGAAAAGATCAACAAAACTGACAAAACTTTTAGATGGGGGCGTTGCAAATTATTAAAATTTCAGGAAAGAAAGTAGGGACACTGCTGTCAGGTAGTTTCTTTGTAGAAACTCACAAACTAGCAGGTCCTCCTCCAGTGAAACAAAGAATTGAACAAGACAAACTAAAAATGGTGCCAAACTGTATTTGAAAAAGTGTGGGTGGAGGGAGAATCTGGCTCTACCGAGCAGGGAGGACTGAACAAAAGAGTGGAGAAATTAAAAGCAAAACTACAAGTGCACCTTGGGCCTGACAGACACAGGGTGGGCTACCATAGAAGGGACACAGTGCGGTCTTCATGGATCTGTGTCC